GAGCCCTGTACTGTTCAGTGAACATTCCACTATATAGTCGGTCATATCTTGTGGTAGGAGATGTTCTGCATGCATATTGTTTTGCTGGAATTTATATTCATGAATCCTATTTAATAAAATACCATTTTGGTTATACTGTGCACTCGGAAGTCATTATGCTGTATTTCATGACTACAAGGAAATCATGAGGCCCAAAATGAGTTCACATAGTAAAGGTTCAGAAAACCTAAAAATAAAGGAGATACCTAAAGATACCTAAATCTCCTATTTTTAGGAGAAAACCTAAAAATAAAGGAGTATCAGTTAACCTGCTCTGAAAATTTACTTTGGTAAAAGTGAGGTTTTGGGAAGGCAGGTTTAACTCAGCATAACAGGCACCTTTCTCTCTACCTTTGTTCCTGCACTTGACAATGAGATTGGGTGGATCTACCAAAGCACCATAAATTGAAAAAGTCAAAATAAAACAGTGCAAAGCAGAGTGTAGGTCAGGCCCATAGGAAACCGTATGAGGATAGGTGTGGGCTTTATTCTCAATGTGAGTAAAATTTGCAGTCACTTTTATATGATACTCTTTGTATTGTGGACTTCTTTGTTAACTGAATTTAAAGTAAATGTTATATAAACTAATCCCCAACTGACAAGCCATTCTGCCCCCGTACCTTCTACTTGCTTATCTCATATAAGCCCTAGACCACCAGAGATCAGGGCCTGATATTTTGAGAGTAATCCTGATCAGTGCCCATCAACATAAATAAATCTGCTTCCAGGTCCTAGGTGTTTCTACTTACTGTTGCACCTGGTGCATCAGCAGGAAAGAACGACTGTGCTAACCTCTTTGGTCACTGGTTATGGCCCTTATGGATGGGGAAGGACCTCTGCAGGTCCCAGTGGGAAGGCAGGCCCTAGAGATTTCTCAAGTCCCCTTGGAGATCTGAAGGAGGATTGCCGGCTCCCTGCCTGAGTTGCTCACATCAGACACCAAAGGGAGGAGGATGCAATCTTTCTGTCTGTCTCTTTTCCTGTGTTCCTGCTTCTGATTAGACCAACTGGGGCACCTGTTAGTCTGTCTGTCAGCACTGCTCAGCTCAAGCAGAGAGATTGACCACCTCTCGTTAGGATCACCCTTGAGGGAAAGGGGTTGGGACGTTTTAACCTCTGAGTGCCTGTGGAATGAAAGTGTAAGTGAATAGAGCCGACAGCATAAGCAATAGGCTGCTCTGTCTGTGCACCAAGACTGGGAAACACATTCTGCAGTTCCCAAACCATAGCCTGCTTTTGGACTGCTACTCAATTGCCATAAGGGTGTGGAAATCCCACTATTTTCAGGGAGGCTTTGGCAACAGATTTGGCTCTTCTGACACTGCCTCTTCCTCTGTCCCTTTCAGCTCCACAATTCTCTCACTGTCCCCTGGGCCCTGAGATATGGCCAACACCACTTGCTTCTGAATATGAAACTCCATCCCAGGGCAACGGCCACCTGCATCAAACAATATCCCATGCCATGAGAGACTCAGCAAAAATTCAATCAGCATCCAGAGGTTTCAAAGCTGCAAAGACTGCCGAACTGCTGAAACACACCTCTCCTGCCTGTAAAGGCAGTTCAAGATCTCCAAGCTGCCAATGTCTCTATGGTTGCCCTCCATATACAGTGCCTCAGTCTTCTGCCACCCACAGCCTACTGGTACACCTACCTGGACCTAAAGAATACCTTCTTCTGCCTTTGGTTGACTGGTCAGCCAGCTCCTCCTCTCCTTTAAATGGAAAGACCCCAGTTCTGGACTCAAAAGCCAGCTGACCTGGGCTCAACCTCCCAGAGGTGCAAAAACTTGTTTCCTCTTTGAAAAACACTTCTAATTAGTGACACTCAAGCTGCATGCTGGAAAGACACAAGGGTTCTGCTGTGATATCTGGTAGTAAGTGGTTACAGAAAAGGAGCTCCACAAATTTCATAGAGCTGTTGGCTTCTATAGAATCTGGATCATTGAATTCACAAAAACAATGTTTTTTCAGACTGTAGCCCCTGGGAATGTCCAATGGCTTATCTGTGCAAATACTTGAATCTAGCTGCTTTCTGTTTTATTTTGCTACACCCAGTACTGGGTGCATTTATCTGCATGGACAGTTGAGATTCCTGTAGATGCAGGGTGCTTAACCAATATTCCTACTCCAAACCATCCTCCATGCTTTCCTCTGCATAGTATTTTAAAAGTCAAGTAAATACATTACCAAGTACTTTACAAAGTTGTAAAATGAGAAAAAAGAGCATTTAGGTAATACAGTTCATTTTCATTCCCAGAAAAAAAACCGGGACTGAAATTTTTATGCAAAAATGCAGAATGCATGAAAGTATACCAAAATAAATGAAAATAGTATTTTGCAATCATATAATTTAATTTAATAAAAAGGCCTAGATAATGAATGGTAAGTACTCAAAGAGTAATGTAGCAATCATATACTAAGGAAGGGAATTTCTAAAGCAGAAGTAAAGGAGAAACACAAAATATTCTCACATGGTAACACCTATACATCTTCCAAAATCAGTCAATAAAACAATAAAGAGGACAGAAACAAATTAAATCAGCCAAGAAGATTGTTTCTGTACATATTTATACTAGAAATAAACTTTTAGAAAGGATTCTTTTTTAGATCAAGAGCATGAACAGTATGAAAAGTTACATTCACTAAAAATCAGATATACAAAATAATATGAACTGCTTTGTTTAGAAAGGAATAATTCAGACAAATACAGTGATCATTTCAGAGTGATTCCTCACCCTAACTTATGTTTTTTGTATTACCAGATTATGTGTAAGTTTCCAAAACAACAAGGGAATTGAGCAGGCCATATTTCTAAGGAAAAGTAAGTGGAAAGATTTTTGTCATCATTCCAGTGGTAGCTCTTTACTCCCAAATCTGGCACCATTTTCTTTCAAAGTCTATGTATGTACATTTTACATTTTATACCGTGATCAATATACATGCGTGCAATCATTTTTATCATGTAACTCACTGCTCCAAATGCTTCATTCATTTATGGCAGATAAAACAGAAGCAACTTGGTAAAGTTTTATCCCAGGAGAAAGTTTACGTGTATCTCTTTGAAGCATCCCTGTGGACTTCAAGGGGCGCTGAAGGACCTGATATAAAAAAGCAAATATCCACCACCTTGTCCAGCTTTAATTCAGTGAGCAGTTCATCTCTGGCAATATAGGAGATACTTTCTGTTACTCATGAAATATTTACAAGACATAGTCTTAATTTGAATTTAAATAGTATGTTGATATTTAGGTCTAAGAGGAAAAGCTTAATTTAAGATTACACTACAAATTAAATCTCATTTTTTAGGGAATATAGCAGAGAAAATAGGGAGAATTTCCTGTTAATATTAGCCAAAAAAGCATTGCATGAAGAATTTGCTTTAATTTACTTGAGGAAAAAAAAATAATAAAAAAGGAGTCAAATTAAAGAATTATAAGTTCTGCAAATGACAAAATGGAGACAAAATTACTTTTTTAACCAACTATTGTTAGCTCATATTTTTGAAATTTTTTTTTTCATACAGGGAGATTTAAATTTATTTACCAGTTACAAAACTGATGAAGTAGGCTCTTTCGTTTTTATCGTTGTAAACTTCATAGGCCTTTTAAACTTGATTGCTTTCACATGAACTGAAATGCATGCATGTGGGACTATGTCCTGTTCCTAGGGGATGGTTTCTGAATTCCAGTGCATCCCAGTGAGCCTGCAGGAGAGTGAGGAGAAAGCAGTATAAGCGTGGACGCAGACCTGGGCTTGAACCTCAGCTCTGTTCCTGTATATGTGACTGAGTGTCTTGGTTACTTTTCTCTCCTTGCTGAGACAAAATACCCAATTCCCCCAATTAAGGAAGCAAAGGTTTACTTAGCTCACAGTTTGTGCAGATTTCAGTCCATACTTGGCTGGGTCCAAGGCAGGGTGGCACATGGCAGGGGGCAACAGTTCATGGCAGCCGAGACAGCAAAAGCAACAGGAGCAAAAAGGGAGGAGCAGAAAGAGCAAGCCTCTTTCCCTCCCTTATACTGCATGCAGGCTTCCCGCCCCAGGACAGGCATAGCACTCACATCCATAATCCCCTCATTGGACCATGGTTCAATCAAAAACTCTAGAAGCCTGTCCCATGACTGCATGAGGCTTTGAGAGGACATCTAGACACAAACCATGACACTGAGTCAATTTCTATGTCTACCTGGGCTACAGTTTTGTCAACAGTATAAGAATACTGACCTGGTTATGTTAAAGTTGTTGTACACATTCCACAAGGTATTGTGCACACAACTTTTATTCTTGGTAGAATCATATTAATGTGGTAGCTGCTATGTAAAATTCTCTCCTGTTATCTCAGTAGTTGTAATATGGGCAATAATTAGTATTTTCTGATTTTGAGAAATGAGGGACTAAATTTTCTTTGGACTTCCAGATTATCAATCTTTTGTTTAAAAATTCCAATACCTGTATTTTTGTCATTCTTCCATCTGTCACATTTGTGGCATTTATTGTTTTTGTACCAATAGCTTCTGTATAAATTTTACAAGGGGAATATTTATTGAGAGTAATTTTAGAAACTTCTAAATATTCATAATTTGAAGAAGTGGTTATGAATTTTTGACACAGAGGTATCTTAGAAATATAACCCAAGATACTACATGTACATTCAGCATAGGAGTTGAGACATCTGCCATAGTAGGAAGGAGAAGTTTTTAGAAGGAGCTGGCCATGCATGGCCTCAAAATGTTCAGACAGAAACCAGGTGAGGATGTGAATACCACAAGGACCCAGGAGAAGGACCATCAGAAGGGCCATTAAAGGCCCTAGTAAGGCTCCTCGCCCATGCAAGGAAAAAAAGCTAGGACACTCCACCAGGAAGAAACACACAATCTCTCTTTTTTTCAAGGCACCTCTGCAGCTGGCAGGAGTTTTCTTGGATTATTCCTGACTTTTGGCATAAGAGCAACTTTTCTTCTCTAGGTTCCCTCATGCTGAGATGTCAGGAGGTTTAAAGCCTTCTGATTTTGTGGGATAACCGTGGCTAAAGAATCAATTTGCACCTCGAGGGTGTCCATAGGGTCCTTTATGCTCCCAAAGTCTACTATTATTTGGTTATTTAGCTGTGCACATTGGCTCTGTCCTAACCCAAGGGCTCTTCTGCCCATAGTTAGGCCACCTGCTTTTGCTATGCCATCCAGGATGGGTAGGAACATGGGGTCCCATTTTTGGTGATATTCCCTGTGAGCCAGAGGGCTCCAGTCACACGGATAAACATTTAGGTCTGGGACCAAGAAGGCAATGCTGAACAGGCTCGGGTGCTGTGGGGAAACACACAGTAGACCCCATTACAGCACACAAAGAAGGTTCTGTTGTTTGCAGTGAGGTGCTGTGGCAGGTTATGGAGGCACAGTCAGCTGACACGCTTGGAAAACCCTTGTTGCCCAGAAAGCAGGTGTAGATTTCTGTTATATGAGTTGGGGAAGCCTGAAGCAGCATTGTTGATAACTTAGTAACATGGAACCAGGAAGCATTTGGAGTTAAGCCTAAAGCCCTCTGGGTGAGGGCAGTGAGTAGCAATCAGAGCCAGAAGTATTTTCAGAGTGGGATCGACCCGCTGGAGAACAGCATGAGTCCCATTAGCCAGCTGTAACAGACCTGGAGCCAGTGAGAAGCTTGTAAAGACCTTGCAGGTGGGGACTCAAATAGTGGGAATAAAACTTTCTGAATGTGACCAACATGGCAGGATCTGTGCATACGATGACTCACAACGTGCTGTTGTCCAGGCAGTGTCCCTGGAGTCATAGACATTATACTGAACAGGGTTACAGGTGCCCTTTTTATCATCTTAAGGGGCTAGGGACTGGGTGTGGGGTGGTCTCCCATTGCACGGAGGGCTTACCCAGACCTATCTTATTTGCCAATTTCAGTGTTTTTCTTCTCTGGGCAAATATATAGTGACACATTTTCAGCCACCATAGTACCGGTTTTGAAAGTTATTACACATATTATCGCCTGTTGTGAAAGGGGGCTCCTGCCAACCTTGACAAACATACTTGTTGGTTTGGTAGGTCCGTTCCCAACTCAGGTCACCACATCCTGTGTAGTAGCTGTTGTTTTCATTGTTGGGGCAGGCATCCAAGTACAAAGACACGTTAGGTTTGTGGGGGTGCCGTCTATTATGGCTGAGGGGGTTTGGAGTGCCACCCAGATGGGCTTGGAACTCCCAGGATCTTCCCCTTTCCTGAACTTCTAAGAGGCTTAGACTTAGCACCCAAAGGAAAACCATCTTAGACATTGGAGGGTGGGTAGCCCAATAGTTACACAGATGTAGAAAAGGACAAAAGCAACCTTTTGGGGAACTTCCTAGCTCTCTTGGATCACAGCCCAGAATCCCAGTGCAAATGACAGACTAACAGAAGGTAAAAGGCCAGAAACCAGACAGAAAACAGTGCATGAGTCTTTAAGGCAGATGCTCTGGTGTATGGTGTTCAATCAATCTCCAGCCATGCATTCATGCTCCAGGTTCCCGAGTGACGAGAGCAGGGCTGTGAGTGCCTCGTCTCTTCTGGTGGTCTTCAGGGGAGCTGCCTCATCAGTGTAGGCTTTCCAGCAGTCTTCATGATGAGCCCACTTGATTCTGGAGTGATGAATCTGGGGAGGGATCTCTGCTATTTTTGTTTTTGATGTCCTTTACAGTGGAGGACAGCCACCCTTCTACACAGCAACCAAAAGTTGTAAGATTTCATTTTTATTTTTTGTTTTTCTTCAGCTGTTGAAAGGCCACATTCCTTGTATAACATCCCACAGACATAAACTGTGGCAAGAGCATACCTGGAATCTGTGTAAACGTTCACTTTTTTGTCTTTTGTCCACTTAAAAGCTTGTGTTAGAGCCTACAGTTCAGCCGGTTGATCCAACCAGCTTTGAGGAAGAGGTCCAGCTAGGAGCACTTCTTCAGTAGTAACAATTGCACAGCTAGCTTGACATTTCCTATTTCTGACTGAGCTAATTCCATCCACGTACAAGGTGTCCTCAGTCAAGGCTTTCATCTGCAGGTCAGGACAGCTGGCAAACAGTCTATCAGACAGCATGGGGCAGTCATGCTGTCCAAACGCTGTAGGAAAGTAGGTGGCTGGATTTACAGTTTGGACTGGCTGGAACATGCATTGGGGATTTTTGACAAGTAGTCCTTTATACTGAGTGATGGGGCTGTTCAAGAACCAATGGTGCTCCCGATTAGCGAGGAGGTAAAAAACCAGTGTGACACCTGAATGGTCACGTTTTGTCTTGGTGTCAGTCTGTTTGCCTGCTTGATCAGGACAGCTGTTGCAGCAAAAGCTTGCAAATAGGGAGGACCATAACAGTTAGAAGACACACGGCACTGAGGTGCTTGGAAAATAATAACTTTATTTATGCCAGCGAGCTGGGGGAAACTGAGCTCCAAATCACCAGCAGTGCTTTGGGGTTATGGGGGGAGGCGGGTTATAGCAGGCACTTATGGAGAAAATACAAAGGGCTGATAACTGGACATTCTATAGTTTTTTTTTTTTTTACCTAACCCATTAAAAGTTCTATTTTCTTAAGTTTGGTTGTGAGGTTTGATTAAGTTTAGGCCCACTATTAGGCTGATATAATCTTAACGATAGATACTGAGTATGTTTGCTTCAAACTATATTTCTAAGGCACTAAAATTTAACTGGAAAATGGGATTTAAAAATAAATAAGATGAGGGATGAAGGAGTTATATTTGTTTCTGTGGGGTTAGATTATTTGATATGCCTTGGTTCATTCTTTTCTGCCTATCACTTCTCACTTTAATCTGTGCTCTGTCCTTCTGTGATAGTTTATCACTTGCTTGTTGACCCACCACTCCTGTCCACACCTACTGCTCAACTCTTAATATTTCTGAATCTCCTCTTGAACTTCCAGTTGGGAAAAATATCGCAACTTATTGGAAGGTGGATAGCCCTGCAAGGGAACTAGGAAGTTCCTCAAAATGTTGCTTTTGTCCTTTTCTACATCTGTGTAACTATTGGGCTACCCACCCTCCAAATAAGCTTATACTTATTTTAGAAAGCCTTTATTTCCCCTTCAAATGTGAAGGACAATGTTTTAGGATATAGTCAGATAGTTTGGTAACTATTTTATTCCAAGATTTTAAACACATCGTTCTGAGTCCTCCTACCATGTCAGAGGTACTGCAGATGGCTCTCAGCAGGGCCACTGCCCAAGAACTATTCCTCCTTGTTCTACTGAGACAGACAGGAGACTTCTCAGGTGGCTGCTGATCCCACACTATCCTAATCCAGAGAGAAATACTGGGAATTATCACCACTGCTCCAGAGCGAACTTGTTTCCATTCTCTCCCTGATATTTCTCTGTCTTGTAGCAAAGTCAGCACTCACAGGTGATGCTGGAATGTCTTTCATGGAGATGGATGATGAAAACCCCCTCCCCACACTGATCAACTGTTCTCCAGTGCCACCACAGATTTCCTCTGTTACTTTACTTATCTGTCTAGATACCATAGGGCCTCTGTTTCACCTGGTTGCTAGCTCACCCAACTTGCAATCCAGTGACTTCTTATGGTTCCTCTATCTCTTCAAAGAGCTGTGCATTTGTTGGTTTGCACAAATATCCTGGAATATACTGTTTTTTTATGTAACACAACATGTAAATAATTTAATGAGAAAAATAAAACAAAGATGGTAAAGGGTAGGTTGAAGAGGGAGGTTATCTGAGGTACAGAAGTGTGGAGAGGCCTAAGGAGAAGGGCAGTTAAAAATGATCAAGTGGAATGTGCCCATGTGTCAATTCCCCCCAAAGAATGCAATTGTAGTACGACATGCATGTAAGAATAAAACCTGTTTTAAATATTCTAGAATTGCTTGTGTGTACTGCTCGCCTCTGGTCTGGCCTTTTCTAAGCCCTTATCATATAAAATTTTACACAACAAATTTTCATTCTCATACTAAACACTGAGAGTTCTTTTCCAGTGCTAGACACCTTAGATTGCTTGGGAAAGTGTTCCCTCCTTGGAAGAGTAATAATACACACTTAAAGGTAGCGTATTAGGTAGTGGAAAATTATGTCAGTATTTTCCATTTATTACTGTATGTAAATTCTGTGAGAATATCTCCAAGGAAATTTTGTATTATTTTCTTTTTTCACAAATGAGAAAATAGTCAAAAATTTTCAGTACAGGTATTTTGATCCATGGTACATAGCTCTTCTCAATGAAGTCTGAATTTGATTCTAATTTGGGGGTCTATAGAGGTCCTACTTTTAAGCTTGTTATGTGTGCAAAAATGGAGTTGCTCGATGTTTTTCACTTCTAATTTTATTATCCAGCTTCCACAAGACCTCTTTAGAAAGCATCAACAATCTTCATCAAGTCAATTGTACAAATAACAGAGGAAAGACAAAACATACCAAAAGGCTGTGAATCAATAATTTCTGCTGGATTTGGCAATTGATTCCATTCTTTTGCACATATTGTAACAATTTTGGGTTTGAGATATGAATAAGATGAGGTAATAAAAGAAAGGAAAAATGAAAGAAGAATAAAGCTCGGTAGGAGCAAAACAACGATGCAGTAGCACAAGAGCAGAGGGGGTGGGATCAGAATGCATTGCGGTGACATGGAGGTGACCTCACATTTTAAAAGTGCAGGAGATGCTACTGCAGTGTTCAGTGTGAAGTTATCCATCAGAGATAGCTTTGGAGTCATAACAATGGATAGGGTTTAAAGGATTGTAGAATTTCCATTTCCACATAGATTGTAAAATGTCATGATGAACTTTCCTCTACCTTGTTTTTAAAAAACCTGTTTATCTACAAAGTCATACTACTTTTGTGAGCCACTCTCAGGTCTGAGTTTCTTGTGGGGAAAAAATCCGGGCTCAAAAGGAAAACGCTACACATTGAGGAGGTTTTGGAGGGCTGCTTGTCTTGGTTACTTTCTTCTCACTGCTGAGACAAAATACCTAAAGTCCAAAATTAAGGAAGGAAAAGTTTACTTAGCTTACAGTTTGTGGAGATTTCAGTGTACAATCAGCTGGCTCCAAGGCAGGGTGGCAGGACATAGGGGCAACACTTCAAGGTGTCACAAGACAGCAAGAGCAGAAAGAGCAAAAAAGGTGGGGGACAAGCCTTTTTCCCTCCCTTATTTTGTAACCAGGCTACCCCCAGCCACGGCGCATGCAGCACTCACACTGTCTCCAAGCCCTCCTCTTGCACAGGCTCAGGGTGAATACAAAGTAAGGACCCTGGCCCCCTGCTGAGTCACTTAGTTAACCTTCTAAACTTCTCATATTGGCACAATGAACAACATCCCAGAGGGGTAAGGGCATATCATCCCAGGATGCAGAACTGCTGAGTCAGTTAGCCAAGCCTCTGGACTCCTCAAGTTGACACAATGTATCAACCATAGCTCTACTTTAATGTAACACTAGTGGGCTGGTGGGAACCAGTCCCAGCTGGCCTCTCCCAGGGGCTAATAGTCTGAGTAAGCACATAGAAGCCAGAACAGTCCGAAAAGGGAGAGGGCAATCACAGTGATATTGGCAACTCTAATTTGTTAGGCAGGAGAGGCATATTTTAATCTATCATCGTAGTGACCAGCTATATACTACGGTGACCAGCTATTTGTAAGACACGAGAGCAATTGTATCTGGAACAGGAATTATTACCTGAGCAAATAATAAACTGAAGTATCTTGACCAGGAGCATTTTTTGTTCTTCTTTGCCTCATCACCTTTTTAGTGGTTTAATACCAAGAAGAGAAGATATTTTAGCGGTAGTATTGTATTGGATTTAATTAGCATAATTTTATCTAAATATCAAGCACTTTGAAATATGAAGTATAGCAAAGGACTGTTATTTTTCATCAACCACGGCTGTCCTAGCAGTTGAATCCCTGCAGAATGTCAGCAGACAGCAGTTTTACAGTTTTACAAAGAAAACCTGAGATCAAAAGCCACATCTAATATTTAGTATGCCAACCACGACGACATTATTTTTGTAATATATTTAAATGTCCATCTTAGTATTGAGTAAAGTAATACACAGCATATCCATCGTGTAAGTTTTTAAAGGTTATTATCTGACTGGTAATCTCATGTTGATCTGACAACTTTCTTCATGGGAATTTGTAGAAATAACAGTCTAAGCTCAAAATTAACAAGTGACCAAACATATATTTTTTCTGTGTAACTACTTCCATAAGCTTTCCTTAATGTACACAAGCTTTCTAGTCTTGTCATTATCTTTCCTTTGATTCTTTCAGCAGGACATGACTTTTATCGTACAGAGTCCTTTCATAGCAAAAGTATGACTTTTACATTTCTAACCTTAATATTTTTCTCTCCTACTTACTATAACATTCTACAAAAAACTTGACTGTAGCTGCTTGAATTTTAAAGTGTCTTTTTTCCCTCAGATAGTAAACTTGACCAACTGCCAGTACACCTCTGAGTAATCTTGAATTGGTGCTTTTATTTTAAAACAACAGAGTAGAGAGAAAAGCAAGTTGACCTTGTAAATTTAAAACTTTGTGATGTACAAGAAATGCTTTATGCACATCCACTCAAACTGAAAACCAGAAGCATCACTGCCAATTCCTTAAAATTGGTGATTTCTCCTGTAAAACGTCCTTAGATTCAACAGGACTTTGGCTATTCACCCCACGCTGGCGTTGCTTCACCTTTCAGCGGTCTGCAGGCAGCACCAGGCTGGTGACATCAAGCAAGAGCTGGCCTTGGGTTCCCAAAGCAGGGAGGAGAGCTTGGGCTCCATTTTGTTCCCTTGCTTGCTTTGAAATGAATAGACAACCTCTGTCTTGTTCCTTTAATCTCAGCATGCATATCTGGGCCTAAGTTTTTTGGCTTTGTGTCTCCATTATAGCTTAGCCATTGGGCCAGCTGGCTTTGCGGGTATTCTGTTTCTTTCTATATTTTTACTTAGCCTATCTGCATCACCTACTTGTACATTCTGGTGTATTAAAGCTATAGAGCTTGCTCATGTCTTTACCTGTTACAGTGAAAATCATTTTTCAATTACATTTGTTTTCTTTTTTTCTTTTTTGATTTTTTTCTGGTCCTGGGAATCGAACTCACAACCTTGCGCTTGCCAGGTAGGTGCTGTGTCGCTGAGCTATCAATTACATTTGTTTTCAAACTGATTAAACCATTTATTTTCAGTCCCCAGCTGAGTCCAGGTGACCTTGAGTTCATGTATTTTATTTCATACACATATATACGTATAGTCACATGCAGGCACACAGAAGTTAACACATTCTAGCCCCCGAGTCCCACGGGAAAAATCTGCCTGGAACAGCAGCTGCAGCTGACTGCTCTGACTAGAGCAGGAGCAGGAACTGGAACTGGAACAGGTAACAGATGCTGAGGCAACTTTAATGTAGCGCTAGCTGGCTGACGATACCCGTTCCAAATCACCAGCCCAGAGTCAGGTTTCAGTTCAGTTTAAATACGGTTTGCAAGAGTGAAGTACAAAGCTGATAGCAGGTTATCACATGATTGGCTACATGGAATACAAGAATTATGTCATATACTGTGAGGCAGAATTGTACAGGAATATCCTGGGAGGGAGTGGGTCTCAGAAGAGGGAGAGAGTTAAATGGGTCCTTGACTGGGCCAGTCTGTCCCAGACATGAAGTCCGTGAAGCAAGTTGGAAGCAGTATATACTTTTCTAACTAAGGAAAAACATAAGCTGGACACAGTCAAGCTGGCCCAGTGCCTTATCAAAGAGGACAAGATAGTCAAGGTTGACTGAATTTAGCAGGCTACATGACAGGCAGTGTGAGCATAGACATAGGCTATGAACTGACACTTAACTTTTGCTATAAAATATCTGTAAGTCTGCTGTTCTGTAAGTGTGCCCTTACACGTTCACATTCATCCAAAAACTTAATTCCAAAGACAACACACTTCCAATAGGATGATATGGATCACATGGAATATCTCACTTTGTGCAAGAATTTCAAAAAAATAACCATAGTGAGGGTGCAGGACTCTTAGCTGCATATTAATATATGGTTAGCACTAAAACTGTGTAGATGAAGAAAGCAAAGAATCCTGAACCCAAAGAGCTTACATTTAACCTCTAGTCTTCTTGCCATGTCACTACCAATTACATATAAGTATGACTAATAAAACACATTGATCACATGCAAGCATTCCTAACAGATCTATGTAGAGGTCTTTACAAAAGCTAGGACAACAGTTATAGTGGAGACAGTAAACAGCATGCAAGATTATGGTGCAATTTTCAGAATGTAGATGGAAACTGTAAAATCTGTCCAGGAAAATGTAGAAAATATACATACATGCGCAGAAACAAAATAACACAGACACTCACAAAGTCAGGTACATAGACTTATTTTCAGAAACCAAGCAAAGAATTTCCCTAAAAGGAAAAAGGAAAGGGCAAATGTAAATATGTAAAACCACTGTGATTTTAATTGCCTGGAGCCCCAAACTTCTGCAGGATTCTAAGGACAGCATGTTTCACCTCTTTGTTTCTGAGGCTGTAGATGAGAGGGTTCAGCATGGGGATCACGATCGTGTAAAACACAGAGGCCACCTGATCCTTTCCTAAGGAGTAGGACTGCTTTGGTTTTAAGTAAGTAAAGATCATGGTGCTGTAAAAGATGGTGACTCCCAGGAGGTGAGAGGCGCAGGTCGAGAAGGCTTTTTTCTTTCCTGCCGTGGAATTGATTTTCAGGATAGTGGAGAGAATGGACACATAGGATCCAGCTATGGTGATGAGGGATGCTATTAGGGTGGACCCAGCACAAATGAATAAAATGATTTCAACATTATATGTGTCACTGCAAGACAGAGATAAAATTGGGGATGTATCACAGAAAAAATGATGGATGATATGAGATTTACAGAAATGCAGTCTGCTCATCCAAACCACGTTCAGAGTGGAGTCCACAAAGCCAATCATATAGGAGCCAGCGAGCAGGGCACGGCACTGTCTTGTGGACATAATGACTGGATAGTGCAGAGGGCTGCAGATGGCTACATAGCGGTCAATAGCCATGGAGGAGAGAAGGAAGCATTCGGTAGCACCAAAGAGTATAAAAAAGTACAGCTGAGTGAAGCAGCCCAGGAACGAGATGCTCTTGGAGGAAGCCAGTAAGTTCTGTAAGGTTCTAGGGGTGATGACACTGGAGTAGCTGAGGTCGAGAAAGGACAGGTGGGTGAGGAAAAAGTACATGGGGGTGTGCAGCTGGGCATCCAGGCGAATGAGCAGCATCATGCCTGTGTTCCTCAGCACCGTGACCAGGTAGATGAGGAGGAAGAGCAGGAAGAGGAGCAGCTGCGCCTCTGCAGAGTCCGCCAGCCCCAGGAGGATGAAGTCAGGCACACTGGTGGAGTTCCTTCTTCCCATGCTGTCTGCTGCACTTATCTATTGAGTAATCATATCTGATATTGAGCACCAGTAAATTCAAGAATATTTTAGTGTGTGAATGACAAAAACTTCATAGTATAGCTTTGTGTTTCTAGAGATTGTAAAGACTTTCCTGAGGATAAGTGAAACAATATAATTGCCATGTATAGGTATGAATATAAATTCACATTGGCTGCTAATGTTTTAAAAGATTACAGCCTACTCAAGAAAGAGGAAGCTGGTAACATTGTGAATGCTTCTGTTAGTGAACACATTCGAATTACACGAAGATGATGTACTGTAGACACTACCACATATCTGTAGAAATTCTATCAGAGCAGGGGCTCAGAGAGCAACGGCTGAAATTTCCTGTTAACAGTGTGATTTGACGGAGGTATTTTGATCGCAGAGAACATACCTTAGAAACATTTATGCCTGATTATACCTTATTTTTGAAGACCTGATAAAGGATATGCAATAAAATATTTTAAAATCAGTTTTCATGTTTTATTAACTGTCCCTTACTTTTCAAAACACTTTGACTTTAACTCCCACTTAAATTCACTACTGGAGGCGTACGTGCAGTATATTAAGATTATATCCACGTGTTATTCTTCTTAAAAATGTTGAAACTGAAACTTAATTTGAAGTGAATTTTACACATGAGGATTGTTTAACAGACAGGCTGTTTCTCCCACATCCTCTGGCTGAGCGCAGCACCATCCACACCTTCCTCTCCTCCGCTCAGAGGACTGCACAGAGAAGTGGTGCCGTGCCAGGAAAACATCATGTCCATTTGAAAGGAAGCCACATAGCTGCTCCAGAAGGTCATGGTCTGGTTCAATTTGGACAAAGGAGGAAGGGAGTGTGGAGGGATCTGGATAGCTGAGCACAGGGAGATGCAGGTCTGAGCCCGTAAGAGACCCACTCCCATCTCCTTTGCAATAGCTGTGAATAAACCTGTTTCTTTCCACTAAAAGAAAGCTTCAGCTACTTTGTGTGGGTAAAGGGGCAATATCATCTTCCAATTAAATCATCCACTATCAAATGTACTTTGAAAATATATCTTCATATTATGTATGTTTGCTGAGGCGTTTGATTCTACCAATTCTTTATTCTAGTTTCACAAATCTTAACATTAAGGGGAAGCCTGAATGATACACATATGCCAATTTCTCTGACAAAATTTTCATTATATTTTATATGACCTATTCCCTTTCCAATCTGAAGAACTATACTGTTAGACAAAGTTTTTTTTTTTTTTTTAAAAAAAACTTATTCCAGAGTTACCTCTCTAGAATCTTGTCAAGCTCAAATTATTCTCAAAAAGAAGACACTGAAAAAAATAAGTAGCTGCAAATTTCTGTGATATATTTGTGTCTCTTAATGAATTTTATTTTTATGTTTTTGTGCATTTATTTTTTCTTGTGAGGCAAATTATATTGAGTTCAAATTTTCATCAAATGAAAACTTGCAAGGAAGTTTCATCTGAAAAAATTTGAGGGTGGAACTGTCTATATAAACAGGGCAGTATGTGGCTTTCCTCCCCGGCTAATAATTCCAGGGTGTTTCATGAAATGGGTATTGACAATAACAACATTTGGTCATCCTCAGTGTGGAATTTCCAAGGAAAGTTCCTTGGCCTGATTCCAAGGACGAAATTTCAAGGGCAAATTCACAGAAGAGTTTTTCACCCTTGGAAGTCCCATAAATAATTAATCTTTTTTGTTATCCTCAAAACTGTTGCTGAAATTCATTTATTTCCTTTTTACAGTGAAACATAAGATAGATTTGCAGAGAATAACATTTGCATTAAAGTGATCAGTCAGGAATTTTTGACTATGTTGTTGGAGAAGATATTTCTACAGATATACCAGTATTATTTAATTGCAGTGTAAAGTTTCACCTGGAATAATTTTATACTTAAAATTATGACGTAGATATAGAAGTTAGTCATAGTCATCAGAAAAAAATTGCACATAGTAAAATTCAGAGAAAATCATGAAGCTATTTAATACTCTTTAATATTTTATTTACACAATAATTTCTCCCAAAACATTTACCTTTGTGCTTATAAAGTTTATTTGAAGGCATAGTTCTAGATTTATCTAATTATTGTAATAATATGTATTCAATGTCATCCTATTTCAAAGAACTAAAATATCATAATCTCCCATGACTATGGTAGGTTAATCTTTTATTGACCAGCACCTTAATGTATTATGTATTCTATGGTGTTCCATTCTTCACTAAGCAAACTGAGTTCACAGGTGATAGATGGACATCTTAGGGCATCTCTGAAATGGGGCAAGTCCTCTATTCTGGATTTTCTGTGTCCCCTGCTACATCTGTATAGTCCATGCTGTGTAATTTGCTGTACTATTTGAATGAGTTTAATTTTGTTTTTAATTTGAAAAAGTGAACAGAAAGACACAATAAGCCCCGAGTCTAACATAAATTTTTAAATGAATTGAGCAGACAAACAATTACATTTTTACATAATCAATTCAAATGTCTTAAAAAGAATAGGTTGGGCTGGGGATTTAGCTCAGCGGCAAAAGCACCTGCCTGGCAAGCGCAAGGTCCTGAGTTCGGTTCCCGGTACCGGAGAAAAACAAAAACAGAAACAAAACCAAAAAAAAAGAATAGGTAAAATTTAGAACATAATAGTCAAACTGAAATATTTTAGTCAGCATTATTTATCTGAGATGAAGCAAAGGGTGAATAAAAATATGCACAGTTTGAATCTGAGTAAAATTATTGTGAATTTTGCATTAATTCCTGAAGAAATATATGTATTAGGATCTCCTAGGAAAATGTGCTCAAGGCTGAAAGTTTTGGGAGATAATATGTTGTGTTGGATAAAGGAGTATTTTTACTAGGTATCATATTGCCAAGGGACTTGTTCCAATAAAACGCTATTCATATGTATTTCAGATTATACTGAGACAGGTAGCAGGTTTAGAGCTTTAGAAGCCAGTGTCACATTATGTGCCTACTACATAGTGGTGGGGTTTAATTCAAATGAAAGCCTAAGCATGGATTTCAAGGCCAACATCACCTCAGTAGGCATGTGATTACAAGATGCCTTGAAGTAGGATTTCTTAGGCAAGTTTTTCTATCACTGAAATGCATTTGCGTTGTCTGTTGAGCTATTTATGATGGCAAAGAAATTCTCATAGCAACTGTTTCTCAATTGCAACCAAAGAGAAACCAGGGGCGTATAAGCCCTTTCAGTTGAAAACATGATGAACTTTAATTCCTTGGTCATCACTTTTCCTTTTCAGTTTTTAGTAGGAAGTGTAGAGACAGATCTTATACAAATGGGAAAGAGTTGTCACATTTTAAATTATCATTTTTTTTCTACCTCCCTCTTCTCTGTCTCTTTTTCCCTACACAAATGCTGTCTTGGATTATTTTTACTATATTTTTTCTCTTTCATTTATGTATCATTAAATAATAGAAATTTTTCTTTATTTTACTTTAATTTTAAGTGACATGACATACAATTTTATGAATTAAAGTTTCATATTTTGATTCATGCATATGAGTAGTAACCAGCTCTAATTAATTAATATATGCAACACCTTACACCTTTCTATTCTCTTTAGGATGAATAGATTGGTCCTTTTCCTGAGGACGAAGTCAGACACACTTGTGACATTACTTCCACCCATGGTGTCCTTGGCATTAACTATTCAACAATTAAATTTGATACTTAGCTTGACTGATGACAAAATTGTTTTATTTGTCTGAATGGCACAGTATTATGGTATTTATGTTAGTGTTTGAGCAATTGATAAAATTTTATATAACAGAATTAAATTATTTCAATTGTAACTTGTAACTATGGTATAAATTGACATTTAATTTTGATATAATAAAAGTTAAACTATGTATTTTGAGTGGATTTGATACTACTCTAAATGCTTTCCTTTATTAACACATTTAATCCTTGTGAGAATATCATTCCATAGTTATGATTATGTACACATATATTGATCACAGAACTTGGGCACAGATCTTCACTTACATGAAATCAGAGCAAAGACACATTAAGAATGTCATTCTATTAAGCCATTTTGACATGATAGAACATGTTTATAATACTACATTTCTGTATTTAACTGCTTTAATCAGATCTGAGAGGGGATATGTAATAATGCGTGCTAAAGAAAAGGTGCAAAGGATCATATTGCCATTGGATTTTAAAAACAATAAATTTCACTTTGTAGGAGACTTAGGCAAGGTACATTCCAATTATAGACCGCATTGTATTATTCCACAAGATACTGTTGCAGAGGTAAAATGAAGTTTTAAGCATTGAGATGTTTTAATGACAGGCTGCTTCTGCAAATTTCTCCTACTGAAAGCCAAATGTACACCACTCCTGACCTCAGCTGAAAAGATCGGACAGAGAAGTAATGTTGTGTCCGGAAATATCATATCCCTCTGAGAAGCACATACAGATCCCAGCATTAGGATACCAAGGTCTGGTCTAATTTGGACAAGAGAGGAAGGGATCTCGGGGTGACCCGGACATAGAATCCCCACAGCCCTGGTACAGGGACATGAAAACATGAGGCCTAATAGACCACTTTATCTACTTTGCAACTGTTCATAAACTTTTCTTTCAACCAAAGTAAACTTCCTTCCACTTTTGTGGGAGTTAGGGCATACGGGGAGGTGCAGTATAGGCTTTCAACTCAAAATATCTTTTCCTAACTTGACCATTAAAATGAAATTTGTTCAAAATATAATATTTTCAAAATATGTACATTGCTTGGAGATTCTGACACCAACTTTATATTCTTGTTTCACAAATCTTAACATTACTGATGGTAAGGCCTACATAACCCATGAATACAAGTTTTTCTGATGAAATACCGATTTTCTCTCTATGATCTAATCCACTCCAATGTGAAGAATGATACTTACAGTCAGATGAAGTTGCTGAAAAATAAAACTTCTTCCAAGATTATCTGTGGAGAAACTAGTCA